GAGATTGGGACCTCCTCATGTCTTTCCTAGGCATCCATACATTCCTACACATGCATATGGCCTCAGAGTCCCTAACAGACATCTCATTCATAGGTTTTCCTTTTAAGTTTTTGGCCAGGCTCCTCTTTGTTCCAATTGGTTTTACTGTCTCAGGTAACTGTGATTATAAACAATTGCTATGATTGTTTTTTCCTAACACCCTTGGGATAGGACTTTTTTCAGTGAGTAAGCTCTATTAGGTCAAATAATGACAAGGTGTGAAAATGGGGATTTTCACAACACTACTGCGTTAAATAGTTAAATAGCAACACTCTGGACCAGGTGTGGTGGCTCATGCCTGTAATCCTAACACTTTGGGAGGCCAAGGCGGGTGGATCACCTGAGGCCAGGAGTTTGAGACCAGCTTGGCCAACATGGTGAAACCCTGTCTCTGCTAAAAATACCAAAAAATTAGCTGGGCGTGGTGGTGGGCACCTTTAATCCCAGCTACTCGGGAGGCTGAGGCAGGAGAATCTCTTGAACCTGGGAGTTGGAGGTTGCAACGAGCTAAGATTATGCCGTTGCACTCCAGCCTGGGTGACAGAGTAAGACTCTGTCTCAAAAAAAAAAAAGCAACACTCTGAAGACAGGACTTCAGAGGCACTTCAAATCTGTCTGCTGCTTTGATGACTGCTAAACTGCTGGTTTTTATAGCTGCCATGGTTGTAAGTCTGCTGGTGGTTTTCACAGCCGCCATGGAGCTAGGGAGAGGGGTATGGACATGGAGCAAGCTAAAATGACAAAAAGCTCTCTGTCCTTACCACTATTAAGCAACTTTTCTTAAATAAATGCTCCTTGAGTTGTTGCAAGCCTTTAGCTAATTTCCAGAGTTATGAAAAAGTTGATTTTTACAATTTTTTGTCAGTTTTATTGTTGTCTTTAAGGAGGACTAGATTTTTGGAGGTTCTCGCTCTGCCATTTATGAAGATCTACTTCAAATCCATAATATTTTAACCTGATACTTCCTGCTCAAGTACTTCTTATTTTTGTTTGTCTGAAATGATAGGCCTTTATGAAGCTGCACCTGTGTTATAAGACTTCTGAGCAAAAGAATCTCTGATATTTTCATGCTAGAGGAATTATTCTTTCATAATCTAGATTATCCTAGTTGTATATATAGTAACTGTATGACACAAAAGAAGCCATAGATTAGAACTATACTATCATACCAAATAAACCCTGTTTTGCTAATCCCATCCAATTTCTTGACCTTCTAGTGTACAGGGTAACATCCTAACCCATACCTACATCTCATATTACACATCTCTTCCTCAAGGGCATAACATATAAATTCTTTGTTAGCCCCGGCTCCCCAGTCTGCCTCACCTCTCAGCCCTTCGCTCCCTCTGTTCCTAGCTTTGCTGCTGCCAATAGAAGCTGGATTAGCCTCCAAGGTATAAGAATGCCAGGGTAGGTAGGTCAGTGTCTATGCCTTCCTTTTCTTTTTTGTGATTTCTCAGGAGTTCTTATACGTATAGATTGATGTGTTATGACTTGCACATAACCAGATGTCCAATCCTTTTGTTGTTGTTGCTGTCTATCCTTTTATGAAAGTTAGAAACTCAACCTACACATTTAATTTTTATAACACTGATCACTTTGTTGTCAGTTTCTTCATCTGTGTTTCTTTCACATTGCACAAAACACCATGAAGTTAGGGGTGTTAGGTTATTTTTCTTTATATCTTTAGGGCTTAACAGAGGCCTGGTACATATTTAACTTTCAGTCAATGTTTTTTTAAATTAATGAATGCCTACATTTCCTAGTAAATTCTACAGATAGAGACCTTGTTTAGACTTCCCAACATGAAGCTAAAACTCTACACTTATATCTCTAGGTGTGATATCCCCATCAGCTTAAGAAATTTGAGTGTTCTGGTCTCTGTCACTCTCAAGGTCATGGCTTTATAAGGTGCTTCTCAGTGTGACCCTCATTCACCTTTCCAGCCACATTTCCCATTAACCTAGAATCCTAACCTAAGCTTCTCTGGTCCACACACACATCATATGTTTTTGTTATGCCTTGCACCTTTGCAGATTAATGTTATTTTTTCAGTTCTACCATGAGAAACTTGTGTTTATTCTGAAGTGCCATCTAAAAATCTATTCCTTCTCTAAACTCTTCTTTTACTTTCTTAGTAGATTTAGTCCCCCTTTTCTCTTTGTTCTAACAAAACTTTGGACATCCCTTTCCTTATTACATTATCGTTATCAAGTTATAATTATTTATTTATATATCAGTTCTTATCAGAGTGCCTGCCACATGAAGGAGACCAAACAATGTTTGATGAATGATAAATGAATGTTTACCCCTCAACTAGATTGCAAAGATCCTGAAAGTTGCAGAGCGTGTTTATTCTTTGTGCTCCAAGCATTGTCCTGGTCCATAGCAGGCTCATAATATTGTTTCCAATGAATAAATCAGAGATATCAGAGAGGATATCTGCTTAACCATGGAAAAGTTAAAGGACCATCCTGACCAGATCGCAGATGCAGTGTTTCAGGTGTACCAAAGCGGCTGTTGTTGGCAGGACCACAGAGGGCTTTTTGTGAAATGGAAAAAGGGTCCCCATCTGGCTGGAAATGACTGTAAAAATGCAGGCTTTGGTGAACAGAAAGGCCTTTTTACAAGGAAAAAGGAGCTACATTTTGGATGAAGCAGTCTCATGCCAGGAACAAGGCTTAGCAATCTGAACAGAGGGTAGATTTCATACTCTTGTTCCACCTTTGGACAGGTGTGTGTCCTTTGTAACAGCCCTGCTTGTCATATACTACAAAGGACTAACTCTCTCTCACCAAGAGTCACTGCATTCCTTAATGTGGGAAGAGGGTCCTACTTGTATTGAGAACCAAATATCATCCATCTTCAATTCTTGGAACAATCCATTTTTTTCCCCAGGGCAGATGGTCTTTTAAATAAGACAAGGATCAGTACATCTTATGAGTATGACCTTTGTAATGGTATATTTGGTGGGGAAAACAATCCCTTTTTTGTCATAGCCTAAGATTTGGGGATATTATCTAACACTTTTAGTTTCTTTAGTTTAAAATGTAAACTGGAAATATATTTTGTAAATAACTTAAAGTTATTCATCTTGGAAATAATTTAATTCTAAGAATACTCATCTAACTCTGAAAGAATTCCCTGATTTTGAATATTTTTATTCCTTCACAAATAGTGAAACTTGAGAAGATTTGTTTTTTTTTAAAGTAAGTAGTCAAGACAATTTCTGGGAGGGCAGCTACTACTTACCTTGTAAGAGGATGTATTCCCTCACCAGATGGCAAGATCTCTTAGCAAGTAAGGATTGCTATTAGAGAGGGAAAAGTTTTTCCTAACACACATTTCTTAATTCCCTCAGAGGTCATCGTTTACCTCATATGCTCTATCTCCAGAGCAAAGATGTCCCAGCGGTTTTTCCGTGCTCAAAAAACAACTGTTGATTATCCTGCCATTCTGATTCTACCCATGCTTTAACAAGAGTAGGCTTCCACCAATTTACACACAAGTTCTGTTCCCCAAATTTGATTGATTAGAAATAAGTTTCCAGAGAGAAGTATTATTAGACCTGTGCACTTTGGCCAGTTCGTAAAATACATTTAAACCCTAGTAGGTAACTGAACTATAACATTAACAGGCTTGTTAACTGCATTCTGGGAGCCACATGATACAAGTGAGAGAAAGAGAAACCTCTTCCTTTTCTTGAGTGCAGGGCTAAGCTTTGACAAAATTTGGAAATGGGTAATGTTTGCTTTTGGACTCTCCCTCCTGAATTAGTATGCCCCTAAAATCTGTAGCCCAAGGTTATAACCCAGACCAAAGCTCTGACCGATGGCTCTCAGTTCACATCTTTCCAATTATGTGTAGTGAGCAAAGCACACAGGACTCCTAGGATGGGAAGGGCGTGAAAGGATGACTATGATGGAAGATCAAAAGGGGTGATAGATGCCTTTCTAGAGAATAGAAGCACATGTCATTGATTTGACTATCTTCTTTCACAATCATATTCCTCAAAACATAGTCTGCTTTACCTGAGTCATTATAGACAAATGTTGTATCTCCAACTGTATGGTGATTTGTGGAGAAACGGATTGTAAAACTGGACCTGAGAAGACCTTTAAAAAAGTATATTTAGTCTCATGCTGAGAAGGTTTTCTTGTAGCATGCATTATCTCTTCTTGTCTCCTCCGAGGCCTGTTTCTCTTTTATTAATTTAAAATATTTTATTTGAAGTTTGATTGATGCAGCATAATATACTAAATATATGTTGCTAAATATTTCTGTTAAAAGAGTTATTAATACACAGAGGAAACAGGACAGTAAGTTACACCACATGACCAGAACATGAATTCAAGATATTGCATCACTATTTTTGTTGGCATTGTCCATCTTGTGGTGCTGGCTCCTCATTCATATTTATAAATCACTCTTATATTTCCTCAGCTCCACATCCTTTTAGAGGATGGGTGCTTTTAGGTTAGATTGTAAGAGGCTCAAAAACATGCTATAAGATGTTATACACGCTTTGTCTATATATATAAATGTATGTTTTCTTTTCTGTAAAAAAGGTTCCATAGCGTCAGATTTTCAAAGGTATCTGTGATTCAAAAACAAAAGATTTAGAACCACTACCTGAATGCAATCTCTTGAGAAATAGTATACTAGGAACAATATATCAAGTTTAGGTGTTGTGAATTCTGTATTCACTTCTGAAGAAATTCTACTGTCAATTTAGGGCAGAAAATTTTAGTGTAGTCATTTAAGAGAAATGAATGCATGGAGTTCAGGTAGGCATGGTCAATAAAAAATCTCAATGTATTTACATTAGAGTGGTTTTACAGAGGAATGATACAGCTAAAAGAACATGAAATAATTCAAAATATTGGATAATAATATTTCTGATGTTTGTTGTCTTTAATTTAATGCTAATGTCTAATTATGTAAAATATTTTACTGTCCAGGGTTTCAAGTGCCAAACTTAATAATTTTTCTCGCTTGGAGCCAACACTTCACCTTCTGGGTGTGCAGTTTGATCAGAATGTGGCCCATGGCATCATCACAGAAAAGCCTGGGGTGGCAACAAAGCTGTTACATCAATTGTACATTGCTCTTCAGAAAAAGAAGAAAAGTGGACTGACTGGAGTGGAGATGCAAACCATGCAACCTCTGACAAATTTAAGACTTCAACACATGAAAAGTGAAACTTTTCGAGAGGTAGGTACATCAAAAAGCATAATAAGCATGTCACAATGTAAAATTTGATAAAGAGAAATGACAATGATATTGATTTCTCAAAGAAACCTCATTAGGCATATATATCCCTTACATATGTTACTGACCATACTTGGGTTTTATTTTATATTAATATTTTGAACGTATTTAGCCATTTTTGATGTCTCTCTCTATCCTATCCATACTGGCAATAGCTTATCAAACTCTTTTCCTAATTTCCAGTACTTTTTGTTGTTGTTGTTGTTTTAGAGAGACAGGGCCTTGCTTTTTTGCCCATGCTGGTCTTGAACTCCTGAGCTGAAGCAGTCCTCCTGCCTGAGCCTCCCAAGTAGCTAGGACTATAGGCCTAATACTTTTTGTGCCTGCTCCTCTCTTGCTGTTTCTACCCCATCAAATCTACCCAGATCTTCTTATCAGCTACTGCAACAACCTGCTAAAATGTCTCTCAGTCTCCCGGATAAGTCAATCAACTGCTAAATGAATCTTCCCTAAATTTTACTTTTATTGGATTCTTCTGCTCAGAAACCTATTTTTACTTTTTTCTAGTCCTCAGTATGGTATTTCTTTCTTCTATGTTAATTGACAGTCTGTCCTTAAATATGACTGTCTATTCCTGCTTTTCCTTCCCTCACACCCAAACTCACCCTTCTCATCTCTCCTCTTCCCCAAACTGTTCCTCATGTACTGTGCAGCCCAGTACACATGGTTTCTTCCTTTGGAACTCTAGATTGTAAGTAATTCTCACTCTCTTGGTTTTACCCTCCTGATACTGATATTGTTGGCTAAGTATTCATTATTTATTTGTCATATGACCTTACCAGATTTTTAGTGTATCAGACTTGATGAATATGTCTAGTACAATGCTTCAAACATTGTAAATACTCATTAAATGTGTTATTGACTAATTGATATGACTTTTTAGTTGACAATTCTCTCCCATTCTTATGCATTTCCTATGGCAAATGAAGTGTGTTAACTTTTACAGGCCTCTGGAACAATCATGAGTGCTGCACTCATGCAAAATAGTAAATATCAATGGATAGAATTATATTTTTAAATTTAATTTTTGAAGCAGCAATGACATAATAGATATGAGGGCCATCTCCATGTTTATATTTGTCCATTCTTCATGGATATCATTATAAGTCTAGTAGCAGAATGGACTCAGCAGTCCTTGAGAGCTAGAAATTAGATTAGGCTTAATATGAATAATTTAATATTGCATTCAGCCTCCTTCACTTGCAAGCTGGTTAACATTGAGCGAGCCTCTAAACAACTCTCAGCTTCAATTTCCCCAACTATAAAAACAGGATGCTTATTTCTACCTGCCTCAGAGTTCAGAATTGGACATTTTTGTAGCTTCAAGAAGAAGAGTGGACTAACTGGAGTGGAGTTTAGATATAATAAAATGTAAAGCGGTCAACAGTGGCAAGTGCTATAAGAGCTGTGTAGATGAAGACAAACAAGAGCCTATTAGCTCATTTGATGTTGGTCATGGGTGAACTTCCAGAGTCAATAATTCATTCACTGAACAGATATTTATTGGGCTCCTACTTTTTGTCAAGCACTTGCACAAGAAACACACAGGAAAAGCCCCAACCCTCTTAGAGCTTACATATTAGGGAGAGAAAAATGTTTCATTAGAGTGATATGGATTGCAGTGAGTTGAGAAGGACTTTGGAGATGAGGAAGAGGGTAGCATAGATTATTCTTTCAAGAAATGTGGAGGTAAAGAAGAGAACAGTAGGAAAGAAAAGCTCAAGTGAAGTATGAGATTGCTTGTTTTATGGACCTAGAGACTGGGGCCACTTATCAATTGAGAAAAAGAGTCAGTGGCAGGAGAGATGAAAATGGTACAAGGACCAGATGGAAAGAGGCCCTCTGGGGACGGAAAGAGGAATATACAATCAATGGTTCATGTGGAAGAGGTGATATCTATCGTAGGAAAGAAGTAGAAATGCCATTTTCTTTGATACTAGATGAGAAGAGATGCAGGTAATATTAATAAGGTTGAAATTTATTGAACGGCATGCCTAGTGATGTGCCAAGCCCTGTTTCAGGTGCTTTGTGAATATTATTTTACTTGATCTTCACAACAGCCATAAAAGATAGGTACTTTCATTAATCCCATTTTACAGAGGATGAAACTAAGGCACAGATGGATTAGGTAACTTGCCCAATTTTATGCACCTAGTAAGTGGGAAAGCTGAAACACAAACCTAGGAAGTTTTAACGTTTCTTCACTTTTTACTAAGCAGTGGCTAAGCATGGGAAGAATCGAGCTTCTTATATTATCTCTTACATGTTAAAATTGGTTTAATGAAATTATTTTTGCAAAAATGTATTTCCAAGAATATAAATACCACTTATTGAAAATTAAACTCAGTGTAAAAAGTTTAACTATAGAAGTATATACGAGGCTATTTTGTAAGAAGGAACACAAAGGATAATGTTTTTGTAATTGCTCTTACATCAATTAAAAATATGAGTAATTGGAACGGGCTTGGATTTAGCTTAACTATCAACAATAGTAATTTAAAGAATTTCGTTTTGAAGACAAATTTTATTTGTGCGTATAATGAACATGTGCTTTTTATTCTCTAATAACAAAATCTTTTGAAATGCTTTTTTCATTTAGAGACTTAGACACATGATCCCACGTCAAACTGATTTCAATCTGATGCGGATTACATACAGGTTTCAAGAAAAATATAAACACGTGAAAGAAGATCTTGCCCATTCGCATTTTGAGAAACTTGAAAGATTTCAAAAACTCAAGGAAGAGCAAAGATGTTTTGATATAAAAAAGGTTCTATAGAACTACTTTTTCAGAAATTCATTAGTGCATAGTATACAGTTTGTGATTTATGCCTATAGTACACATTGCATAAGCAGTAGTGGAGCACAAGTTGCACTTTCCTGATGCATGACTTTGTCCTGCCCTACTCTCACCCTTTCTATCTCTCCCCTGCTCCTTTTCTCCATCCTGACTCTTGCTGACTGTCCCCTCTACTTGTGACTGAGAACAAGAACTGCCATCCTGTGGAGTGGCAAGATAACTGCATTACCTTCACTGGTAGAAATCATTGTTTCAGCTGCTTTAGGGATGGAGGGTTGCTACTAGCTACCCCATTGGTCAAAGGCACTTGCCATTGTCACCACTGAGGGAGATAGATCAGACATTGTCCCCTCGCTTTCTCCTCTTTTGCAACCTTTAGTCCTGCCCTATTTCTCTGTTCTTGGAAATGTAAGGTAATCCTTTGCTTGCTTACCTTTTCAACTTGCTTACCTTTTTAACCTGAACAACTCTTAACTTATTTCTGGCCCTTGCTTCTTACTTTGACTAACTCTCTGCTCCTTCTCAAATTTCTTTAAAACTCTTTAATGATCTTCTGTGCCTTTGTAGATGAGAGAATAATGGTACATGGAATCATTAAAGGTTTTTAAGAGTATTTCAGGTGACTGGGTATATGGAATGTGTAAACTACAGGCAAAAGAATTATGTAGTTCTTCCCATTGCCCTGTAAAATCACTTTTTAAATTCATGGATTTATTTGGAATGATAAGCAATTCTATTCTGAACATAGTCAGCTCTTTGTAGGGAAGAATGAAAAGATGACAAACAAACTGGAAGATCACTTGCAAGCTGGTTAACATTGAGTCAGCCTCTAAACAACTCTCAGCTTCAATTTCCCCAACTATAAAAACAGGGATGCTTATTTCTACCTGCCTCAGAGTTCAGAATTGGATGTTTTCGTAGCTTCAAGAAGAAGAGTGGACTAACTGGAGTAGAATTTATATATAATACAATGTAAAGCAGTCATGTAATTCTATGACTTGCCAGAGGGTAAATAAAGGATTATATTTCCCTTTGGTGTTACATGATAAAGAGAGAACGCACTCTTAAAGTAGTGTTTAAGTTGAGGCCAATTGCAGTGACTCTAATTTATGTGGAATCAGCCTGTCCATTAGTGCCAAGCCTAATGCAGACGGTCTCCAAGAAAGTTGAGAAAAAGGAAATATAATACCATTAAATATTCTGAAATAAATTATGTTCAAAATGATCATAGGGAACAAATAAGGCAAAAGGGAGACCCTGTGTCTTCCTGGTTTTAAGAAAAAAAGATACACATATTGCAATTAAATAAATATTCATATTTTAGAAAATGAAATGAAAATTGTCGATTATTTAGGCCTTTTTAATGGTAAATTGAAATTTTTTATCGTAGGACATGGGAACTAATGATCATATTAGTTCTAATATAATGTATTAGTAGTAAAGTCATGATTAGTTTCACATATTACCTCTTAAATCATTTAAAATACTTTATCTGATTTTCAGTCACTTTTTCTTTTCAGTTACATTCTCCTACTTACATTCTTCTTAAAATAACTACTGCCTACATACAGAAGAGATGATCCAATAATTATATCACATAATTTAGTGTTAATTCAATGTTTGAGGTTGCCCCTGAACTCATTGTTTAAGTGTGACTAGGTTTTGGGGAAGTTTGTCATTTTTATTGGGTTTCCCAGGAGCCCACCTAGAAACTGTCTCCTAGATAGAATTTTCTAATTGGACCATCTTCAGAGATAGAATTTTTTTCTTCCCATGCTTGGTAAGGTCATGACAGTAGGATTGGGAAAGAATTATACTCTTATTTAGATTTGGGACATCTTTATTGTCCTTTTAGTATCAGCACACAGAATGAAAATACAGACATTTGATAGATACAATTTTCAGATTCCAGAATTGTGTTTTAACATCATACTTTTCAGAGGAAGTCATATTGACACGTGCTTCTTAACATTACACAATTGTGACACCTAGTCCCTTGGTTAATTGCTGGGTTCTGAAAATTTCAATAGATAATTTTTATATATTTGTACCTATGAGTGTATTATATTGCCTATTCTGTTACTCTGAATCACTAAACTAATGTATATGGGATATTCAGCAATACTTAAACAGAAGACGACAGAATGAAATAATGGCCAAAATCCAAGCAGCTATTATACAGATTCCTAAACCTGCATCAAATCGTACTTTGAAAGCACTCGAGGCCCAAAAAATGATGAAAAAGAAAAAAGAGGCAGAGGTAAGTGATAATCCTTTAATAGTGTGCTGTGTTTGTCTTAACTAAAGAATAATCTCCCCTTGAAACATATAGAGAGACCTTCCAAAACTTCACACTTGCTTTCCAAATTATCTCTGACTTTGTCCTTTCTCATTCAGAATTCCTCTACTATATGCATATTCAACTCATTTTATATTGTTACTTGTTCAGAACAAAGAATATAGCTTTAGGCCAGCAATGGCAAACTCCTATTAAATGGCAGTCTGGACTCCTGTGTTGAAAAAGATTCTGTGGTCAATAACAAAGTAGGTCAGAATGGGTGTTGTTGTAATGGGTCATGTCTTATCCATTTGTGTTGCTATAAAAGAATACCTGAGGCTGGGTACTTTATAAAGAAAAAGAGGTTTATGTCGCTTATGGTTCTAAAGGTTGGAAGATTCAAGACTGGGCATCTGGTGAGGGCCTTAGTAAGGAGAAGGGGGAGGGGAAGTGGAGCCAGCATGTGCAGACATTACATGGAGAGAGAGAAAGTGAGAGAGAGTGGGTAGGGAGGGAGAGAGGAAGAGAGAAAGTGCCAGGTTCTTTTTAACAGCCAGCTTTCATGGGAACTAACAGAGTGAGAACCCACCCCTAGGGAGGGAATCAATCTATTCATGAGGGAAAAAGAGAGTGAGAGAGGAGGTGCCAGGCTCTTTTTAACAAATAGCTCTCATGAGAACTAACAGAGTAAGAACTCACTTACCCACAGGGAGGGCATCAGTCTATTCATGAGGGATCCACCACCATGACCCAGACACCTCCCATTAGGTTCCACCTTCAACACTGGGATCAGATTTCACATGTGGTTTCAGGGACAATCATACAAACCATAGCAGGTCATAACTACCATGGGTACAGCAGGGGCCAGTCAAGGTACACATAGCATACATATGCCATTCCTACTATATACTTTTACTCAATTCCTCCTCATCATACCACACTATTTTTCTATAAATCCCAGGAATGGTAAGTGACTTATTGCTATCAGTATATTTAAATTTAAGATACCTATACCAGTGACATTTTACTAGGCCACACCAACTGTCAATCATTTCAGTAAGATGCAATCTGATTATATTTCCCAGGAGAACAATGTTACAGTTCAGTTTGATACAAATTCCTGCAATTCACACTGCATACTGCTACAATGATGATTCGTATTCTCTCATGTGACCTATAAAGATGATTAATAGCTACCATTTATTGAACATGCGCTGTATATCAAGCTGTGGACTGGACACTTCACATTATCTGTAATTTGTAAATAACTCTCTAAGTAGGGTATTATTTTTCCGATTTTGTAGATGAGGAAACTGAGACCCAGGCAGTTGACATGTTTTACCCAGTGGTAGTAAAGCAGAGATTGACAGATCTCTCTGATTCCTATATCCATTGAATTTTATATTAATTCACATTTTTTTGTTTTTTAAATATTAACAAAATATTCTGTACTTGGATTGTAAAATTACCACCTACAGAGGCTTTTATCTGATTCCATTTCCGTATCTCTCTCTCGTATGTCCGTGAGTTGAATAAAGTTTTTTTTTTTTTTTTTCCTTTTTTGACACGGTCTTACTCTGTTGCCCAGGCTGGAGTGCAGTGGTAAAATCATGGATCATTGCAGCCTCAACCTCCCAGGCTCAAGTGATCCTCCCGCCTCAGCCTCCTGAGTAGCTGGGACCACAGGTACGCAAGGCTGGTCTCGAACTCCTGGGCTCAAGCAAACCGCTGGCCTCGGCCTCCCAGAGTATTGGGATTACAGGTGTGAGCCACTGCACCTGGCCTGATTAAAGTTTTTTAAAAAATGTTTGTAAAACACAAAGGTGAGCTAAAGTTAAACTTCAGATAACAAATTAATAGTGTAAATATTTAAATATTACAAAATATTTAATATTGTTTAAAACACCCGAGACAACAATTTTTAAAGAAATATTTGACTTTGGGAGGCTGCGGGAGGATCGCATGAGGTCAGGAGTTTGAGACCACCCTTGTCAACATGGTGAAACCCCGTCTATGTTAAAAATACAAAAGTTAGCCAGGTGTGGTGGCACATGCCTGTGATGCCAGCTACTTGGAAGGCTGAGGCAGAAGAATCACTTGAACCCGGGAGGTGGAAGTTGCCTTGAGCCGAGATCGCGCCACTGCATTCTAACCTGGGCAACAGAGTGAGACTCACTCTGTGAGTCTCAAAAAATAAAAATTAAAAAAAAAAAGTGAGGGTCAAAAAAAAAAAAAAGAAAAAAAGAAAGAAAGAAAAAGAAGTATTTGTATCCAAAAATGTATGTCCTGACTCTTTGATAATCTGTATTCTAATGAAATGCCCTTTGGTGCCCTGTCAAAATCATGAAGTAAATGATTCAGGGGAGGCAATTTTCACATTCTTTTAGGTATAGTTATCCCAGCCTAAAAGCAACAAATCAAAATTATAAAAAAAATTTTAGAATGCAGCTTTTCATATCCTAATTACCTTGAATTAGTAGTACATGTCATTTTATAAACTTGAATGAATATGGTAAATGAAGATGTTTCAATGGTTTTTAGATGCAGAGAACTGATAATGAATTTTCTTTAAAGGATGTGGCCAATGAAATTAAGAAGTTCGAAGCATTAATAAAGAAGGATCTCCAAGCAAAAGAAAGGTGAGATGTGAGCTATTTTAATAATCACAAAACTGCATTATGTTCTACACTTAGCTTTTGAATATTTAGAAATAGTTTATCTGGAAGAGCTATTCCAGGATCTTTTCACTCTGAAGAATGTTGATTCAGAGAGTATATTAGGGAAAATAAATGAGCTAAAGTTCAGATTGTTTGTTAGCAACTTTTATAAACATCTAGAGAAAGTGACTATTATGAAATGTAAAGTTGATTTATTTTTCTGTGCTATGTTTATTATTCTAAGTTCACACATATTTTTTAAACATTCACTAAAATTGTTTCAAGGTACCACTAATTTAAGTTTGTCACAGTAAATCCTTTATTAGACTCTCAGCAGTTAGCATAGACACCAGCAGTATGAAGTTGAGTGAATGAGTTCATTGAACAAATGTCACTAAGACTGTCACTTTGGTGGGTTCATTGAACAAAGTTCCTCATTAATTGGCTTCATTTACCTAAAGATAAAGCTCCTTCACACTTTGTTTTCTATGGGAGGTCATTGATTCACAGTAAATAATTCATTAGAGATGACATATGTAGGAACAGCTTGGGTTTTTTTACATTTTTAAATGGAAACAATCCAAACGCTATGCATTTACATCTTATGAAATATGAGATAAATCTCTGTTAAAGAAGGTACTAATTCTAAAGAAAAGCAGAAAAAAATTACATACTTCATTTTTATATTAAAATTTTCTGAAGGAAGGGAGAGACAGTCAAATGAGGAGGAACAAGGACAATCAGAGCCATAAGGAAGAAATGATGAAGTCAGATGTAAGAAAGAAAATCAAGCAAAATGGAGAATACTTATGTACATCACCTTTCCTCCTACTCTCTGCGGAAACTCCTGATGCCCTATTCTGATTCCCACTCCCATTTATCAGTGTTGCTCCTGACCCATAAAAGCAACATAATCCACGTCTCCTTATCCATGCAGCCACCACTTGAACCCTAGTACACACCTACCCTGACCTTGACCCATGAAAACACCAATTTCTTCTAATTATTTCACCCACCTCTCTAGCCACAGGCTCTGTGGTGATAAACAGATGGTGTCCACCAAAAAGACCATCTTAAACTACTGAATACTTTGCTACTTGATGAATGCTACCTTCTGTAGCTCCCTGGCCTGCCCCTTTCCTGGGACCCATCAGTTTCCACACAGTTTAGCAACCAGAGTTAAGATGAAACACAGCACTGTCTCCCAGGCCCTGCACCAGTATCTATATCTATTGGTTAGTGTCCTTGCCATGTCAGTTATTAAATGTCTTAAAGATCATCCCTGTACATTACAGCTGCAAACATTTACCTGCTCCCTATTGCCTTTGCCAACCCAACCAGACCCTAGGTCTCTATCAGTTAGTTTCAGAAACCCCAAAACAACAGTGAATGAAATTAGAGGGAAATCTGCTTGTCTCTCATGTAATAGAAATCAGAAGGTAAGCAGCCCATAGCGTATGCTGTAGCTCCAAGGTTATCAAGGACTGAGGCTCCTCCTCTCTTCACTTTTGCCTCACTGTCCTGTTGTGTGGTTTTCATCCTCAAGGTTACATTCATGATACAAGTTGGTTGCTGGGACTCCGGCCACTTGGCCCATGTTCCAGATATCAGGAAGGAAGACAGACAAAAAAAGTAGTTATCTCCTATCTGAAATAGCTTCTTTCAAAAACCTTCCCAGAAGTCCCATATAACATTTCTGCTTATATCTTATTGGAAAGCATTCAGTCACATGGTCACACCTGGCAGAGTGGGAAGCTGGGAAATGTAGTCTTTAACTGGACACACTGTTTCCCTGCATAAAGTTGGGGCTCTATTTTGAGAGAAAAGGGAGGGGAATAGTAGTGTCAGGTCCCTTCTTCACAGAAGCCTCCACTTGGTCCTGCCAGAGACTTCCAGCAGAGGGCATCTGAGATATTGACACCTTACTTACAGTAGGAGGAGAAGGCCTGGGGCAGCTGAAATCCCTGGGCCAGTTACCTCTGGCTGTGAACAGCTTCATCTGAGAATCTAAATTCTTTCCAGTGTGTTGCACAAAGTTCCTTTTCTCTTTTGGACTTAAAAAGAAATATGCTGGGAAGCGTTGGCCTAGAGCAAACGTTTCAAGAAAACAGAGGCTATGGTTATGATATAGGACCCTTCTTAAGCCATTTCATTATTCAATACTTTTATAGTTCATGCTGAATCTTAGCTTAGAATCAAGTGTGTTCTGGGCACATTGAGAAGCTTCACACTAACTTGACGCCAGAAGGCAATAAAATCTCCCAGCTTGAACCGCAGGAGCACTTTCTGCAGCTGCCTCTTTCATAGCCTGCTCCTGAACAGTTTCTCAGGATGCCACCTCAAAGTGCACTGTTTTTCTTTTGTGGAAGAATGAAATGATGTCTCATGTCAGCAATGCAAGCGCCCTCATGGCTGTTTTTTCCCCATGTAACAATGTTCCTCCATTTTTTCATTTTTTATATGAATAATAAATACTGTCTGCTATTTGTTTCTTTAGCTGGGGTTATTAGCTGCTGTAATTTGGTATTTGGATTAATAGATTTATCAGAGGCTTTTCCCAGCAACTACTTTTTAAGAAATACAAATTTGACCAAGGTTTCTGCTACTAATAGGTTATACACATACAATTATTACATTAGATGAAGGTCTGGCAAGCAAACAGATAAAAAGAAAATATAATCACTGCCCTCAAGAAACTTACATCTAGTAAAATGAATATTTATTCAAGTACATAATGCGTAGCTTTTTTCACCTTTATTGGAGTAAGACAACAGATGGATGAGTTGACTAATTGATAAAGGAGAAGCAATTTGTTAAATATGTTATTGACAGCATAAATATTGTGTTGAGAGAGCTGTTAACCCATGCTCAATCCAGGGCAGGAGCTTTTTGCACAACACACTTAAGTACAAATATAATAAGATTTTTGATGAAAGATCTAAAGTGTTACGCTACACAATTAAATACTAAATCTTAATAAATAGATAGGGTTAAACTCTGTCTTTGGCCTTACTGAGTGCTTGCTACCTACATAATGTGTGCTCAGCTCTTCTCAGTGACAGAATAAAATCAAAGGATGAGCCCCTGCTGGTAAAATGATCGGAACTTTAGTTTGATTTTTATGCATGAATGGTGCTTTTTAGCACATTATTTGAAATTTAGCAGACTTCAACTTCTTGCCAGGCATGCTAGGCACAAGTGCAGACAGAAGAAAAATAGGATACTTCTCTTATTCACTAGGAGATCAGCTGGGAGCAGCAAACCTCCAAATTATGACCTATATTACAATGTGGTCTATATTATAAATATGCAGGTATTACATCATTAAACATCAAACATGAGTTAACTTTGTTTTACCAGAGCACTTGTGTCTGTATAAGAATTGATGACAAGTCTGTACACACTTTAATAATGTGTCCTTATTTTTTGAATAAGATTATAAGTAATATTATAAACCAAATATATTAATTACTTATAACAAAAACAATGATTATACATAATATAAAAATTCATTATTTCTAGGCAAGTAACGTTATGGTATACCTTGCACTATTGTATTATTCTGTTTACTTTTTGAAGAGATGCAGATGAGAATCGATGATTATTTGATCTTTATATACATAAAAATGTATCTTTTAATGATAAATTTGGAATGAATCTATGAATTCTGTACTAAGCCACCATTTGACTCACTAAATTGAATGTGCTTAACTTCTGTTGCAAAGACCACTGGGTTCTTCCTGATCCTTTACATTTTGGATATGAGATAGGACGAGAGCTCTGAGTTGAGTCTTCTTACTTGAGTCTCTAGGACATGGGCAAGAAGCCAGTCAGACCTGGGCTTACATGTGTGGCATGGTAAGCAAGCCAACTTTCAACTGCTGTGTTTTCGATAAGAGTTCAGCCACTGTTCTAAGCAGTCAGAAGTTCATCTGGGAGTGGATAGAGTAATTTGCATTTTCATAGGTGATGGAAGAGTGTAGTAGATGGAAACATTTGTACATAGAAGTACTCTCTAGTGACCTGGCTTTAGTGTGCCTGGTCTGCTGTTGCGAGCTGTGCCTTCCCTGACACTTGGGTTATCAATAGTCTGCCTCTTGTTGATTCAAAACAGGGGAGGTCAGAGACCCAGAGCCAGCAGGAACAAAAGGAAAAGAAATCCAGAATCTCTGGGTAGAATGAAAATCATAAAAAGTAAGGCTGGGCACGATGACTCACGCCTGTAATGCCAGCACTTTGGGAGGCCAAGGAGGGCTGATCTCATGAGGTCAGGAGTTTGAGACCAGCCTCCCCAACATGGTGAAACCCTGTCTCTACTAAAAATACAAAATTAGCCCAGCATGATGGCGCACACCTGTAATCCCAGCTACTCAGGAGGCTGAGGCAGGAGAATCGCTTGAACCCAGGAGGCAGAGGTTGCAGTGGGCCAAGATGTGCCATTATACTCCAGCCTGGACAACAAGAGCGAAACTTTATCTCAAAAAAAAAAAAAAGAAAAAGGTGAAAGAACAAAAAGCTGATGGGCCTTGAAAGAAGGCTATGCTAAGGACCTCAAAGAGAATTTAGAAATGGGGTGAAGCAAATGGGATCTGTTGCTAAGCTACTGGTATCACACTGATTTTGAATATTTTCTTCAATGCTTATATTAATAAATTAACAGTGAACTCACTGATTTTGAATATTTTCTTCAATGCTTGTATTAATAAATTAACAGTGAACTCAAGGGATCCTTCTCCTGAGGTCTTTCTCCATAGTCACAGATAGTGGCATGGGATCACATTATTTTTAAAAAATCTAAAATAAAAACTATTATTCTTAGTGCATCCAAGACTTCTTTAGATACAGCGGGCCAGACAACCACCGATTTGTTAAATACTTACTCGGATGATGAGTACATTAAAAAAATCCAGAAGCGCCTCAAAGAAGATGCTTTTGCACGAGAGCAAAGGGAGAAAAGACGGCGGAAATTGTTAATGGACCAATTAATAGCCCACGAAGCACAAGAGGTAAGATATTTAGATGAAGGTTAAATAATAGTGCTGGGAATTCTATAAAATATAGTCTTCTATACACATAATATGTAGTTTATATATGTATTATCTGCTACTCTGCATCAAATGTCATATCATAATAGGAAATATACTAGAAAAAAACAGCTATTTACTGATGAATCTAAAATCTGGTGATAGTTGTACAACATTATGAATGTAATTAAGACAAATGTATACTTTAAAATGGTAAATTTTATGTTACATATATTTTACCATAATAAAGAATACATTAAAAGGAACCCAAAATCTATGTCTGCCATGTGTACTCTATTGTTACTTTTAGAGGAAAAAGGGAAGGGTTTAATGAAAACAATATGGAAAAGTTGTTCGTCCTCTCCTTTTGTTCACCATTCTATTCCAGTGGTTCTTAAAGCATAGTTCCTGGACCAGCAGCACCAGTATTGCTTGGGACTTTTAGGAATAGAGATTATTGGGCCCCACCCCAGATCAGACCTGAAACTCTGGAGGTGGGGCCCAGTGATCTGTTTTAACAAGCTCTCTATGTGATCCTGACTCCACTACAGCTTGAGAATCACTGATCATTTCTTACATTGAACACATATTTATTGAACTTCTATGCTTTGAGTACTTGTGATAGGCCCACAGATATAACAGAGAGCAAGAATAACAAGATACTTGTCTCCCAGAGCTTTCTGCAAACAGCAAGAACATTGGAGTGTGAAAGTGCTATGAAGGTGAAAGGGGGATTGGGGGAATGATACTTAGAGAAGTCCACCTGGCTTGCTTCAGGAGACAGTGTCTGGAGGATAATAGCAGAAGCATGGATAAAGAGTCAGGAGTTAGCTAATTGAAGGTGGGGTGGTCGTGTGGGGTTGGAGTGAGAGGCAGTTTCCAAGAGAGGCTGAAATGGTGGAAGGTGAGTGTTTCCAGACAAGAGAATACCACATGGAAAGCTCAGTGCTTTTAGCTAACGGAAAGTCATATCATCTGGCAGGAGTCACTAGAAGCCAAATTATGATGAGCCTTGTAAGATACACAGAATGAAATAGGAGATTTTGTGATTTCTTGTTTGAATGCAAAGTGGAATAAGAGTGACCAGGTCCAACTTGCCTTTCGAAAGATCACTCTGGCTTTAGTTTGGAGAATAGATTACAGAAGGGCAATCCAAGTCCATTGTTGCTGTAATTCAGGCAAGAGATTATCCCAGTTTAAATGTAGTGTAGTGGCAATAGGGATTGAGAGAAGTAGCTTTAAGAGCTATTTTGGAGGTAAAATCAATAGGACTTAATGATTCATTAGACATGGGAAAGTGAAGAAGTGGGATGAAAAGCTGGATTTCTAGGTTGTGCACCTGGATGGCTGGACGTGTAATTTGCTGAGATATGGAAGATGGTGAGAGGAACAAACTTGGAGTGGACGGCGATTTCAGTTGTGAATGTAAATAGGACAAATCTGCATGTCTACAAAGACGATTTGAAGATGCTTTTATTCACCTGCCCACGTCTGGTCTGCTTGTTCACTGAAAGGAAATAAAGGCTTCACACAAATATGAAGAAGTGAAATTTATTCATGGATTCCACTCTTCCTTAGTGAAAGTTCAAAAAAATAGCTCTGGACATCTCTTTGTGCTAGAAAGTTATTTCTTCATATTCAGATTTCTTCAAATTATATCTTTATTCAATCAGTTTGATTATCTCCTTTTCATTGGAAGAATTTCAAATTATGAAAACTAGATAATCGAAAAGTTTATTTTAAAATAACTACCAAGGCCGAGATGGGCGGATCACGAAGTCAGGAGATCGAGACCATCCTGGCTAACACGGTGAAACCCCGTCTCCACTAAAAAAAAAAAAAAAATACAAAAAACTAGCCGGGCGAGGTGGCGGGTGCCTGTAGTCCCAGCTACTCGGGAGGCTGAGGCAGGAGAATGGCCGAGATCCGGCCACTGCACTCCAGCCTGGGTGACAGAGCGAGACTCCGTCTCAGAAAAAATAAAATAAAATAAAAAATAATTACCCATTTCAAGTGTCATCATGTAGCAGTGACATTTTGGACACACTTCAATATATGTTCCAAAGCACTTGTGTGTTGGCTGCAAGGTTTTTTCTTATCATTTTCCTGCTTGTAATCTGGGCCTGGTGTTTGCCTGGAAAATGGAGTAGATGAATTCTTTCTGGATTTCCTCACTTTCCACTAGGATGCTATTAACGCTGAACTTTCAAAACTAGACTTGGAGGTATATTTATCAGTTTGGAAATCCAGCAACCTAAGGGACCTAAAAAAGAGTCAGGGCTCTATATATTTCCATCACAGGAACCTCATCTTGTGCTGCCTCTTTTCTGTGTGTGGGGAAGCTGCTATTCCTAGAACCAGGCCTGATGCATATGCTGCATTCCCTCTATTCCTACCACCTCCTTCCTATGAAATGTAGTGAGCCCAGGCTCCTGTGCAGCTGACACAAGAGATGCTGGTCCACAGTGGTGGAATGGGAAATTCTTATGTGTGCAATGGCTGGTTTTTCCATCCATTATCCTCTCCTCCAAAGGAAAAATGGTGTATGTCAGGGCTAGGAATTCTACTTCCTTCAGTTACCTGCTGCTTTTCACAAGTGTAACATAAATCCCACGTCAGCCCTGAATGTTTTCTTCTGGTGCCATTTGTACTTAATCTATCAGAAATGCCTCAAAATATCTTCCCTAGCTTTTGAGTTGTTCCAGTTTCTCCCTGGAATTTAGGTATTCCTGTTTCAGTTTGGCTGGTGAAGAGAGAACCAGAGACCTGTGCTCAAGTTGATATCTTGCCTACTGATTCATAAATACGTGGAATTATGTGAATTAAATGATGAGATTTAAAGTTATAAAAATCAATTTGACTTTTTAGGGGATAGATTTTGAGAGTGGGGATGGTAAGAAAAGGATTGGTAGGGAGGGGCTGTTGTTGTTCAAGATAGGGCTGGTGTCAGTGGGTATGGAATGGAATGGGGGGTAGTGGTTTAAAAACATGCCTAGGAGGTATGCTAGACTACTTTTTGAACAATTGAGTATTAGGAGTGATGAGAGAGGAATGAACTTAGGATGACCCTAATGTCTTAGATCACAGAGTGGATTATTGTAGGATCATCAACCGAGATGGGGAAATATGGGGAGAGGACCAGGTCTGAAGTTGAGTTAGTGAGTTGAGTTTTGGACTTGTTGAGTTAAAGTACTTCATAGGCATTTAAGTGTATTCAAACTGGGAACACAGTTTGACTCCCACCCGGTTCCGTGGTCATTTGGCTAGTATCTTGGCCAATTAAGTTTTGTCCCAAGTCAGTTACCTCTGCCTTCTAAGAATCTTTTCTATGCCATTTCTTTGGAACTGACATTTGAACGCCAGGCCCTTCCCTCACTTCTTAACTAGAAGACCCTTGAATACTTAGCTGTCAGGTCTTTCCTGCAATGCCCTATTCCTCTATAGAGCTGCTCGTGCATCTTTGGAATATTAGGTAGTGGTTGTAGACTAGAGTAAGTTCCTCCAGTCTCTAGATATCTTTCTGTCTTCCCCATTGAGTACTATAGATACCTCCCCTTTCCACATGATGTCTCTGTTTCGAAAGAGTGAGAGAACTTGATGAGGCCTTGGATATCATCTTCTATCGAAACCCATCATTTTACCTGACGAGAAATAAACCCAAGAAACTGAGTTAATTGCCCAAGGCCACCCAGCCTATTATGATGACCAGATCCTCTGATTCCCAGTTTAATGTTTTTTTTTTTTTTTTTTCCCACTGTTCATTTACTGGTCACCCTTCTATTCTCCTCAAACTGCCAAGAATACATCTAGCTTTTCTTTCAGATGATGACCACTCAGATTTTCTAAGATCAGCAGTAGGTCATTTTCCCCAGCCTCTTCTCCAGGCTTCCCATTCTGTCAGTTCGTATTAATAGCTTTTCCTCCCGATGGTATTGCAATGTCCTCAGTGGGAACTAATCCAATCTGCAGTCTTCAGCTGACAATGCCTGCATTTGTTTTACAACTAGTAGTTATGTTAAAATCCGTATAACATAATCCCAACCTTCTGAAAACATGCTTTGAAATTTAGAGTCATAGCACTTTTGTTTTAACTTTTATTTTAAATTCAGGGGTACATGTGCAGGTTTGTTATACAGTTAAACTCATGTTATAGGGATTTGTTGTACAGATTATTTTGTCACCCAGATATTAAGCCTAGTATCCATTAGCTATTTGCTTGTTTTTAAAACTTTGAAAAAAAATCACCTAATTTATTTTTAATAATGTTTTGAATGAATAATGAATAATGTTTTGAATAACAATTTGTTTAAAGTAATTGTGAGTTGCAAAACCATAATGTTTCTAAACACCAACTTTTGTTGGAAATCCTCATTTCATAACTTGATTTTTTTTTTGCCATGTTCAAATTAAATCAAGTGACAGAAATTATTTAGATGAACATTATACCTTTTGTATATTGTTTATTATAGGTTTCATAGCTCAGTGGGAAATTTGGACATCACTTTAACAAATAATTCCCCTGGTGTTTTCAGGAGGCTTATCGGGAGGAACAGCTGATTAACCGGCTGATGCGGCAGTCCCAGCAGGAGCGCAGGATTGCCGTGCAGCTCATGCATGTTCGGCATGAAAAGGAAGTTTTATGGCAAAACAGAATTTTCAGAGAAAAACAATATGAGGAAAGACGACTTAAAGATTTCCAGGATGCTCTTGATCGAGAAGCGGTAAATACTATCTCCCTTAGAAATCTTTCTAAGGTTACTTTTGATCCTTTCTACCAAGTCGTGGTAAACAAAGCTATATTTTGTTGCCAATCATCTAATAAGAGTTGATTTTTTTATATGATCAGCCTATTATCTGCCAATTTTTATTTTTATGTAACTCCATCAATAGGGCATATAGCCACTACATAGAACTATACTGTCTTCTTTTAGCCTTGATTCTACAAGTAGCTAAGTACTTAATGCTCACCACCAACCCTAATGTTCATGTCTCTCTAGTCATTTTGATTGTCTGAAACTCTTTCTCAGGATTTCTCAGGACGGGGTCATGGAAACCATATTCCCTGAGTTCTTATATATTGGTAACTTGACTGTAAGTTGACTGTATATAAAATGGTTAGTTCACACTTTGTTTCCTGGAATATCTTAAATATGTCACTCTATTTTTTTCAAGTATAAAGTATGCTGCCAAAAAGAATGGTGATAATCTAACTTTCAATTCCTTGAGTCATTACTTTTTTTTTTTTTAGATACTTTACTTTTTTTCTTTAAAAATTCACTAAGTTTACTAGAGTAGGCATTGGTATTGGTTATTCTAGGTGAATGTCCTCGGGCAGTGAGAGAACTTTTAAACTGCTTCCTTTCAACTGGACATCATTAGTCTTTAATCAAAAATTCCTTGCCTTCTGGAAAAGAAAAAAGAGATTCCTCAGGCCCATATTGTGCTATTCCTTCCTCAGAATGAGCATAAGTGCTTTATCTAGGGTACTCTGGTGCACTGTAGTTGAGAATTGTATACAGAAACTCAGATCTGGGCTGCTAGCTGTGCTTTTTGCTACTGTGGTGTCATTGTGTCTTGGCCCTTTTACAACCCTGAAAATCAAAATATCCTATCTTTTAATTATTTAATAGATTATTTTTGTCCCAAACTTTATGTATATGTAGGTTCTAGTAACAAAAATAGATTGATTTTATTAATGGAGTATATGGATTACTTCTTGTCTACTTCCTATTGGGGATGTTTCAGATTTATTTAATCCTTTATTCCACATTTGATTGAAGAGAACTCATGTGAGTGGTGTTTTAGATAGCCTGTCTTTACTGTCATAAAATATTCACAAAACCAGACTGGGCAGAAGAGAAACCTTAAAGAAAACGGGAGGACAGTGTTTTATTTACTAGCTTCATAGCTTCCACTGTGATACCCCATGTAAGTGCAATGTAACTTTTGCCAAAATTATGCGATTTTTAGAAGTATCAGTTGGAAAGTAGCATATTTTGCAGTGAGAAGAGTGTTGCTTTTGCCTTTGTGGAATAGGCATAGCCTAAATGGTGGGTATGAAATGGGGAGAAGGAGCCATACCCCATGAATTTGAGCTGAATGAATGCCGTGACCTCACATGTCTTCTTTGTCTTACCAAGCAGCTGACGTTATCTGGATGATTGTTGCCATCTCTCTCCTTTGACGAAAATACGATTGACTCAGATGAGGTGGCATTATTGCATGTTGACGCAAATGATGCTGTATATCTTTCTAAGCTGCCTATTTGAAAAATATATGTTTATTTCGTAAGCTTCAGCTCAACATAGCAAAGTAATGTTTGCTGTGACGTCCTCATTGGTGGGATAAGGATCCATCATATTCTTTCTAAACTGGGGTTTGAACTACTTTCCAGAAGGACCTGCGGCAACAGTTGGCCTGCTAAAAGCCTCAGCAGACCTAACATTTCCCGGGGAGTTTCTGACAACGTAACTGAAAAAGCATCGTGTAATTTCTTCCTCTCACATGATTATTTTCCAACAAGCGAAGCTATCTCTAAGGTTCCTTGGCATCTCTCCCCTTTAGATATGGTTGGATTTTATGCACTTGCATCCGGCACATTTAGTTTTCAACTCTCACACCAACAGTGGCTGGACATAAGTAGCAGAACTCGAAATAAATAAATCAACATAATCGTTTTAATTCAGTTTGCGTCCAAATATAACAGTCACCTCATCTTTCCCACATCAATTCACTAAAGCTAAGACAAAATCCATTTTATTCCCTATGAGTATTATCCATCCTACTACACTTTTTCTTATGTGATAAAGGAGGGTTTTATATATATAGACGCACACACAACACACAGCAGTCCGTGTATAGAATACATATATACATATACACAATGTAAGTACGTACCAGTGTGTAGATATACATATTATACATATGTGTGTGTGTGTATCACTACTCTCTGCTTTACTTTTATTTTTAAGTTCAGGGGGTTCTAGTGCAGGCTTTGTTCACATAGGTAAAATGTGCAGTCATCGCGGATTTGTTGTACACGATTATTCTCAATCACCCAGATAACAGCCAGTTGCC